CTATAAATACTCTGTGGTATGCCCTGCCCTGTTCTATTAACATCTGTAAATACTCATATATATATATGAGCAAGCATGGGGGTGCATGGGGGAGCTGTGCAGGCAGCCGTGTGGACTGACAGTCTCTACCAGTCCTGCCATCCCTCAGCTGAGAATCAAACCCATTTCTGGATGGCGGGGAATGTGTCCTCTGCTGGTTGTGTTCTCTGTGGAGCTCAGGGGAGGGAAAAGGCCCAGCCATTTCTAGGGTGCTATTGGGAGTAGTGAAAAGGCCTTTCCAAGGGACACTTTTCCTGGAAAGACCCTGGAGCTTAGCTGGCTCTTATCCTGTGAAGCAGGCTCTGGCCACTAGGGGGCAGGGCCATGAACTCAGCCTGGAGGAGACTGTGGGACAGCCAGCACTCTGGAGGGACAGACAGAATAGGCCACTGGGTGCAGACAGGAGAGGGAGGCAAGGGGATGGAACGGAAGACGCCTGGGGTGGATGGAAGTCAGTGGCCTTGGGTGCTAGTGTCTGTCTTCCTGGCCACTGCTAGATTAGGCTTCTGAGCCTGTTGGCTGTCAGGGCTAGGTGCCATAGCAGGCCCCATGAAATTCACCAGGTGTCACCAGACAGCATACAGTTAACAGGCCTAGAAGGTCCCCAACAGCCCAGCTGGACATGCTCAAACACTCTGGGGCTCCTCGTTCAGTGGCACAAACTCCAGGACCCAGTGAGGGAAACGGGAACCCACCAGGCTGAGCAGTATGGCTAAATCCATTTATTCCAAAATGAAAAGCAAAATAAACAGAAGTCGCATCACCAAGGAAGGCAGGACCCCATCCCCACCTCCTTCCTCCGTCCTATGGTATCAATAAATAAGTTTCCCAGCTGTAAATAACAATTAGAATCTCCTCCTCATATGCCAGCTCTAGCCTCTGCTAGGTATGATACAGGGGGTGGTCCTACCCCCCAGAATATACAAAACGTTGCGCAGATAGTATATGTACACTGGGGAAGGGGGGCCACCCCAGCAGCCCGTGCCCTCGCCTACTCTACACTTAGCCCCACTGTCCTGCCTCAGCTGCCTCTCTGAATAAGAAGATGGGAGCCCCCTGAGGGAAAAGTTGCTTTGGTGAGAGTAGAGAGGCCATCAGGCCTCCTTCAAACAAACCAACTCCACCAGCCTCTGGCTCTTAAATAACAAACATCACCATCCAGAAATTTAAGGACTCAGCCCTAGTCAAGGTGGCAAAGGGTCTGTCTGTCTCCCTCCATTAGACGGGGTCTTATCTTACTACCCTAATGGTAAAGGGGTGACTGGGAAGGGGTGGTTGATACATGGTGGGGGTGGAGACTCCAGCCCCACTTCTCCAGAGTTATGCTGACAGAGGCCTGCTTTTATTTTTCTCCCATGACTTTTTAAAAAAAAATTCCATGACTTCCTTTTCATAACTTTTTAAAACATGTTTCATAAAACATTTTTCTACTATTTTTCCACAACTTCTTTTGCCACAACTTTTCTAAATTTTTCATCCTAATAACTTTCTCATCCCACTTTTAAAATTCCCGTAACTTCTTTTTAGTTTATGTCCTTTCAATAAACACACTTGCATAGTTACAATTTTGTAAAAATAAAATCCAATGATCTCATGCCAAGCGTGCCCAGGATTTGCACACTCAATACCTTTAACAACATAGTTTTCAAGACACACAAAATTTGAAGGCAAAAACAGCACTTTGCAACAATTTCCTAATTTATTACATTACAGTAGCATCACAGTAGCAGTCAATAATGGCACTTTACAAAACAGTCTTTCAGTATTTCCTTTATACATTCTGTTGACAGGAATTCATAAATTGGTAAAAGTCATTCTAAGAAAACTTGGCAAATAAAGCTTTGGACTGGAATTGACATCTCTTTCTCTACTTTTCCTTCCCCCAGTTTCTTTGTTTTAAACTACAGTATTCATATTTTAAGATGTTTTAACTTATTTCACAACATTAACATAGCAGTTATACTTTTCAATAGTTATATTCTTTTAAAGTGACTCTGTAAGATAAAGGTTTAGAGAAAGATTTATGGATAGGGCTGAGTTACATTTTCACATTTTTCTAAAAATCAGCTTTGGTTTTAGAGCTGATTTTTTTCATTTCTGGAAAACCTATCAGGTTTAATCAGATACTCTAAAAATAATGACCATATATTGCAATCTTTAAATATGTGTTTTGATTCCTTAGTTCCTACAGAAATTCATATTTATTCAGTTGAACTCACATTTTAAAATTCTATATTTCTGATGAACTCTAACCTTCTAATGTTGCCTTCTAAGCAAATTGAAAGCTGCCTTATACTGAATAAGAAAGAGAACAAATACTTGGCTGAATGAGGTATGGCAAGAGATTGTATGCACTTTGAAGACTTAAGTTATTGTCATAGGATTTCCATTCTTTCTAGCTTTTTTGGAAACATAGGACAAAATATCTACACAAAGAGTGGTATTTCAGTTAATAGAGTACATTTCTTTTCCAGACTGACATTCAGCTTCAACATGCCAGTGTGTGATTTCACCCATAGGTACCTGATGAGCACATTATTGTCAGATTGGTTACAGATGCTAAACATGATCTGAAGGACATTCCTAGTCATTTGTATTTATCAGGGCAAAAGTGAAGTGATTTGAACTATGAAAATTCCTTGAAATAATTTATCAATGTATTAGGTAAGCCCAGTTTCAGAATGATAAAGAAAAACTGTTAGACCAAATAAGGTGGCTAATTAACAGTGGTACGATTTCTAGCCCGAGGGTTTAAAATGGACTTAAAGTAACTGTCTTTCAAGCGAACTCAAATAATGCAAAAGCAGCAAGTTCACAAAATAGAAGGCAAGAACAGGACCTTAAGTCCATTTTAAATACTCAGGCTAGAAATCGTACCACTGTTAATTAGCCACATTAATTGTCCTAACAGTTTTTCTTTATCATTCTGAAACTAATACAAAACTGGTTTATCTAATACATTGACAAATTCATACAATTTGGAAGAGTCAGTTGAAGTCACAAGGACCCAGTATTTGCACTCTTTCAGTGAATGCAGGCAAATCTGTTATTCCATCTGTAAAATCATATTATTGCTCTCCTATTAATATCATATTTATAAAAGTATCATGAGGATGTCAAATGCTGAAAATGGAGATGGTCTAGTGACTAGAAATGCCCACCCCAGGGAGCGCACACACATCTCTCCCTACATCCTAATAATGTGACATATTTTTGAACATAGACATTAGAACTTCATGAAGTTTTAGCTGTTGATTCCTTCCCAAGCATCATAAAGTTACAATTTAGGCAATGTATGACTGAAATAATTCATTCATCATGTATAGGCACATGAATATAAATATGGCAAAAAATATGCCTCTAACTGATACCAAGAGCTATAAAAACATATTTCACTCTTCGTAAAGAACTTTGTGAGGAAATATAACTCTGTGATTTATAGACACTTTTCCTCATAATACTTTGACTTTCACAAACAGTAGATTGTACTGCAGTCTATAAACATTTTAAGTTGCATAAAATTCTCCTTGATTTTCAAATACAATACTGTCTACTAAAACTCCTTTGTGTTTCAACTAAGTACCATCACATATATTAGTTTATGATAATGTTTGTTATTTTTAAAGTATTTTCCATTCAAGGACTAGAAGTAAATTCCTATTTCAGAGTAACCAATGTGGTTGAAGAATAGGTATTAGCCAGAGAGGTCTAGATGGTAAAATCAATCTTCTAGCCTCAAAGAAGCTCCGTGAACATAGAGGAATGCCAGGTGTCACACAGCTTTCCTTCACTCGCATTCATTCTTGACTAGAGCCTGTATGCCTGTTCCAGGGACATTTAAACTCTGAAATGATCTCTTATGATCTTTACTAAACACATTAAGAAGAATGCCAAGCAGTGCCCTTTTGTGTACTGTGACATGCAGTCACGTGATTAAAACAGGTAACATGAACTCTGACTTTAAAATGTATTGTAGATATAAATGCTCTAGGCTGGAAAAGGTTTTCCACATCCACAGTCAATGATGGGAGCCTTTCATTCCTCAGAAAGAATCCCTTTTTTCTTAGGTCATCGAGAAAGAGTCCAACTGCTGTAGCTCATGATGCAATATCTTCATGAGCCCAGAGCACATACAAATCCTCAGGGAACTACCATAGTACCGCGCTCATTCCTGGCACCAGAACAAATGAAACACACTCTATCCTGCACACACCTGCCACAGCAGGCCACTTTCCTCTTCTGTGAGATTTAAAAAGCTCCCCAAAATGTTATCACCCCCATCCCCAGTACACAGAAAATAGGGGAAAGGCTGTTTCCAGTTCTCGGCCTTTAAACAAGTCCAAATGTCAGTACTCACAGTGGTATATTACAAAGTAAGAAACAGTGTGCACTTGAGGGCAAACCACATATTGAGCTAATGAAGAGCTCACTGTGATTAGGATTCGATCAAACATAATAGCAGAACATAAGCAGATTTTATCTGAATTCTGTAATGAATATACATGCTGCAATAACATTTAAAAGGCATGGCAGCCTATTCCAAACCAGTAAGAATAGTTTTGTGCAAATAGTGGGTCTTTGTGTGTTTGAACTCCCACCACGTAAGAGCAAACTCGATATGCGCGCTAATGACCTACAATTATCAAATTAAAAACAAAAATGTTGAAGGAAGCCAGAGTGAACATCAGGGAAAGACCCACTCTCCCTTAACTTTTTACAAATAAATTTAAACTGTAAATTAGAACATAAATAAACATGAGTGGCTCTAACATTCAAATGAAGTAAATGAATTGTGTAGGAGATTAACCCCATAACATTTGGTTGTTGTTTTTTCAATTTCTTGGCCAGCTCTTAGATGATGGTGATGTTTATCTCCCTGTTCTCGGCTGCCCAGTAAAAGAATGGGACGCAGGGTTTGCTGGCCAAGCCTGGGTGCTCCTGGGTGTCCTGCATTACAGGAAGCAGCTGCACGATCTTCTGTACAGTGGGGTTGTCATGGGGAGAACCCTTCCTGGCCTCTCCCGGTGCAGGCTCCACGCTGTCGGCCAGGCTCACCTCACAAAGATCTTCGGAGAGAGGGAGGCGGGGGTCTGAGCACAGTGCGAGCCTCCCCTGCTCCTGCCTGTCCACCCCGCCTGAGGGCTCTACTCACCACCCTGCTCCTCGGCAGCCCCAAGCTCCGGGGGGGCTGGGGCCCCTGGAGCGGGCATATCAGCAGGGTTCTGGGCAGCAGGGAGGAATTTGTCATGTCCCTCATGGTCACCCACAAGTGTCAACAGCAGCTTCTGCAGCTCCAGTAGATTCACCTGAATGGAGGGGTCCTCAGCTGCCACTCTGGATCCAGCGCCAGTGCCCATGCCGACCCCCATCCCTGCAAAGATGTTGCATGCCCTACCTTCATCTCCTCCTCGTTCTGGTCCAGTCTGATGATATCCTCTATCTCCTGGTGCCGCGTGTTTGGCACTGCCCCTTCGCTCCCAGATACGGTGATGTGCTCTCCTGCAAGAGGACAGGGCTCAGACGCTGGGGCCCCTCCAACGGCCCTGCAGCTCCCCGTGCCC